TTGTTGCCTAAATCGCCATCATTGCCATGCTAATGGTGATAGTCTGCGTCGAACGATAGCCATCATCACCATTGTCAGCGTATACTTTGGCAGCTAGCGTCATGATTTGATGATTAGCGACTTTTTCTAGGCTCAAGCTTTTCCGAAAGGTACAGAAAATGCCGTTGGTTGTCGATCACTTTGAAGTTACGGATGCTTCTTAGTATTTCTGGGGCCAACCGCATCGACGCGTTTTCGGCAGCCATCGGCTCTTTGTATCTGCGAATGTTCCTCAGTGGTTGGCCAATCATATGCTAAAGTGAAGATTTTTTAATATGAATTCAAAACATCTTTTTCTTACCATCTTCTCAAAGTTGACCATCCCTTCGAAGAACGTCTTGTTGCCCTCGTGTGCGAATAGTAGATCTGAAATTAATAATACTGGACTTTTACTGCACCCCGCCAATGAAGTAACGCTTCTTTAACATGCCAAAGAAGTTTTTAATCTTTCAAAATATTCATTTGCGACATGCAACTGTAGTAATCACAAAATGCCGATTCTAATCAACTCTCATCTCATGTGGCATAGAAATGTTGTCACTGTTCCGTTTAATAATTTGTAATGATTTTCTTGTATTTTTTATTTTGCTTGGTAGATGCACAAACGGCTGAAAGCAAATCTGACCAGAGCTTTCAACATCGTTTGCTTTACGATGCAATGGAACAGTATTCCGGTTTTCGTTTCATTGCTCATGATTAATCAAGCTTACCTCTGAAATTGAATCTCGGAGAAAGATATGCTTTTTGATACCAATATCTTGATAGCATAAAAATAACTAATTTTTTTCTTATTGCAAAAAGCAGAATTGAAGTAGATTCTTTCCTCATCCTCTGCAGCATCCATATTCACCAAAGTACTTTAGAGTTTGAGGCCAAATAATATTTTCTGTTGTAACAATGTGGGAAATTTACATGCAAAAATAAAAATGTTCAATATCTTTTTACAGTAAGACGATTATCGAGAAACTTTTTAAGTGCCTAGTTATCTTTTACTTCGTCAGATCAAAAAACGAAACTTTTTTACCATAACACCTTTCCATTTCTATAAAGCTAGACACTCGCTGATGAAGTGGTGTACACCTAATTCTAATTCTGTGAACCTGCGTAAACAACCTAAAACAACCCGTACGAAGGTGAATTACAAAAGTGGATGCCAGAATTCTCATAAGTTACGCATTGGCATCATTAAATATAAAGCTGAAACTCGAGTTGACATCTGACAATTTAAAAAATGCTCAGAATCTCATTCTGCATTAGTTGAATATTCCTTCATGAAATTACACAAAATGAACAGCAGTAACTTTGAAATTCTGGGCTGGTACGACAATGTAATAAATACGTTAAATCTTAAACTTAAAAATGTCGTACATAAAATCATTCTGTGTCGTTGGAATTAAAGGATCAGCTATGATGACTTTGCTACTAGTTGGTTTCCGATAATTAAGTCTCTTAATCATAGCATCAAAGGAGATTTTCTTGGCGTAGGCGCAACCTGAAGATGCGCCAGACTTATCTCACAGAAGAATTAATGGTGATCAAAGTTTCCTCAGAAAAGCGCACAAAAGCAGTTTCGGTCAAGTGCTCGGTAAATCTCGTACCAGTATTTGAACTATACTTATTTTAATTTTCTGTGCATTTGACCCTTCTTTTACACAACAGATAGTACTGTAATTTACTATACTTTGTTTTCCACCTGTGTACTGTATTACCGCTGGTTCAGTAATTACAATGATGATTACTGTGCCGAAAACACAAATGGACTGAACAAGAAAGGAGAATTTTGTGTCACGTGAAAAATTATTTGTGGGCAGTTGAAATATCACTTGTGTTTATTGCAGATGCCATTACGAGTTGAATTTTTCAAAAATTTTGAGGCAGTTCGTTGAACAACAAAATCAAGTGCAGAATGCTTTCAACGACGTCTACCTGAAGGACATTACGAAGCAAGATGCTGTCATTAAGGTAGTGCTAATGCTCTTAAAAAAGCAGAAATCATGGCCATAGTAGTGTACACTTCTGGCACATGTTTGCAAAATGCAACATGAGCATCATAATCGAATTCTATAAAGCCTTATTCTTATTTGAAATACAGTTTCGCTAATCATTTCTCATTTTTTGCAGTCACTCGACAGAAAAAGTTTCCACCAAAGCTGTCAGAAAGTGTTTGAAGAAATTCAGTTTTTAGGAAATTTTTAAACTTTTTTATAAATGCGGAATTAAAACAGTTTACCTTTTAGCAGCAGAGGAATGAACGGTATAACTGGTGACGTAATTTTTGAAACAAACAGTCGATAGGCACGATGGTTTCTAGACGGATCCAGCAAATTTTCAAAGTTGTAAAACATTTTCCGAAATTTTGTAGGCAGCTTCTGAAAAAAATTGTCAAGAACAACGGCTGAGGCTCATTTCCATATGCGTTACCTCCCATGTTTGAGTGAGTCGACTGATCGCAACATTACTGATCCCAAGTACGATGGCAAAGAAACTTAGCAAATCCTGGTTGGTCTTTGCACTGAAAGGAGAACTTAGAACGCAATATCGTGGTGATCACTAAACCGATTACTGTAGGGCAATTTTAATGACTTTCTTCAGCAAGTTGACCCGCTTTGATAGGTTGCTGCAAAGCAGTATTTCGGTGATGACCCAGAACTGAAGCTCGTTGAACCTTCTGATGAGAAGGTCCAAATTTATGGACACTTTCCCGGGAAAGTGCTCTCTTCCAAGTGTCTGGTACAGTAGTTCGCATTCGTGGAGGTTCAGGAACAGTTGCCAGTGATACATCAGAAGGTACTGTGCAAAATCAGCGCTGTTTATTTCCTCCAGCGTTGACACGTACGTCGTTTCGTCGAAGCAGAGGTTACTGACTCGTGAAACCTGAAAATCAAAGCCTTTGAATTTAACATATCATGAATTTGGGCAGAACTCGTAACGTTGACCTCTTCTCCTCGATGTTTTCCGTCATAACGTCGACGCTATTAGCTCTCTTCAGTTGCTTTGCCTGGTTGGAACTTTACGCTTTCTTGGTTTCCCAACAACTAAGCATTAAACGACTTGTGTGCATGGCACTCGTGGAATGTCATGCCGCGGAATAATCGAACAGGAAAACCCACAGCACGAGGCGAAGAGCAATTGATCCATTACACATTCTGAAAATTCTAAGCACATTCCCCCTCAAATTTGACTTACGGCACTAGTGAATAGGTAGTGACAATTTTGTAGATAGTATGCACGGGTGGACAGAACATGCCGTAGAAACTGAACATTCACTGCTGAATTCATTCAGCTTCAAAAATGGATATTTCCATAAAAAAATCAAAATTGACCAACTGGAAGGTGAGCGCTAGCCAGCGATGCTGCTTGAGGATCGAGCATGAGATAGATGCAATGGAGAACGAATTTGCAAACGACATCAGGCTTTAATGAACATTCATTCAAAACATAGACAATATAGCTATAGGCCTGTTTGTCAATGGCAAGAAGGCTAAAGTACAAGAGCATTCGGCGTGACAAATAATCGAATTATAGCATAGGATGACACTAGGGTTGTTTGATTGCACTTCGAGACAATAATGGCTAATGATGCTGTACTGATTCTGAAGTCATCAATTCAAAGTATTTGCCTAACCTCAGCAAATTTTGGCAACGTTTATGGAATATGTAAAGTTGTACCACAGGAACTATTATGCAGATCATCATCCTGAAAGTTGTTGTGTTTGCAGTATTCCTGTAAAATCTAGGAACATCTGTTGTCCCAAAATATTGTTAGCTTTCAACAACGCTGTCGACCCACACAAGGATGTTGATGATCAGCGATCTAAGCGAACAATCAGAAGAACTCACAGACCGGCTTATTGATAAACCTGACTAAAGGATAATAACTATTGTGTGATTTCTTTGGCCTCAGATCCGGTAGGTGACAATGCAAAACTTTAAGAAATTATTAAAACATTTACTTCTAGTGAGGAATATAACCTTCGCATCAGCAGCGAGCGTTGCGTAATATTAACATGGGACATCAGTTCAAACTGTCAGCTACCACAGCATTGGACTACTAGGTCATTCCAGCTCTGTTAACCCTATATGATGATACCAACAATAAAAATTAAAGCATGATTGCCGGAAGGCATCATCAAATTCTACTGTACAGTTAGCCATCTGAACAAAGTACAGTTATTGTATCCGCCTGACAGCAAGTCATTATGATTAAGTAACCTGTAACCCAATAATTGACCTCATATGTAGTCCGCAACACACTAAATTTACGAGGACGACGTTCCCAGTCATATTCAAAACAAGTTTTCATCAGACACACCAATACGGCAATAATATGCAGTGCAGTGTTGAGGCAAATAATGAAATTGTTAGGGTAGCCAAAAATTCGTATAACTGAAATAACATCGGAAGATTGGTCCTCTTTGTAAATCTGCGGCATTTTAATTAGGCCCCTACTTCGTTTTGAAGATATATTACAGTTCTGGTGCTGAAACAACCGTATTTGTGGTGCTCAACGCCAAATGTCATGACGTCCGTTTTGGCAGCTTCCAACAGTGTACTCTACCATGTCTTCCAAATGTGATTGTACAACCGGGTCACTAACGAGCAGGAATGAATGATCACCGTTTTAACAAGACTCTCAATTGAACTCGGAGACCAACTTCTGGCTTAAGCTAGGCTTTATAAAACATCTCAAGAAAAAAATGGAAATGAATTCAAAACCTTTTCACTTTGGAACCATGCACTGTTTGCAGGCGCAGAGGAGGAAAACACAAAACACGGAAACACATCGTTGAGACATACCTGTAGGCAATGAGGAATGCAACCTTTGCCGCGGCAGTGAATACCACTTTGAAATATCATTTCTAAAGACCAGAGATCATAAATCTGTATGAGTATGCTATTTGAGCTCTGTTGGCCTTCAGCAAACTGTAAATATATAAATTTGTATCCACTGATAATTACTGTTTGCCAGTCAAGTGCTGACCATCATTGGGTCGTAAGTTATGCCAATAAATGTCTGGTGAGGTAGCCCGCACTTAAGGCCCCGCCAGTTTTCCGGCCATAACGTATTTCTTGCGAGTTTTGTAGTCAGTTCATTCATAGCGCCAACTTTTGTGAATCAGCCCTTGTCCTCAACATTTTTCAATCAATCAGTCTAGATCCAGAAGTGAGGCTCTTGGTTGCGGTAGGATTCACTGACCAGTGTCGAGATTCACCATCTCGCCCACTGTACAGGTCACCTAACGCTTATCGACTTGCAAGCAGTACAGATAATTCTTACTTTAAAACGATTATGCGGGAGTGCAAGATCGATGGAAGTCATTACATCAGGTTATAGTGCAGCACTGAACCTCTCCCCCACCCGACTGCTTCTTGTAGCCTGAGAGAATCATTCAAGCAGGCCAAGGCTGCATGGAATTCAAGCACCTGCAGCACATGCATGCGTACTCCGCGTCAGTGAGTCTCAGCGGGCCAGCTCACAATTGCCCAATTGATGGTTGGAGAAGTCATTGTGTATTAAACTATTGCACTCATATTTTCATTTCATTTACACATGGCGACTAATCTTCTGACATTGATAAAGACAACCGTCCGTTAAATGAACCTGTACTGCAGACCGTTACCATACTTTTTTTCTATGACTTTTTCATTAAGATGCCGCTTAATAAATATCGCTATCAACGCATATATTGTACCTCACAAGTTTCAAGCGTCTTACTCACCATCATGTCCCCTTTTCCTTTGTGTAGCAGATACAGTCGTCCATTTGGGGTCTGCATTGACGCCACACTCTTTTCGTTGCCAGTAAATATGGCTTTTTCTAAACGTATTAGCTATGCCGAC